GGGAAAAGGGCGGCCTATAAATATTAATAAAATACTAAAAAAATACTACATTATTTTAATTATCTGTATTCTGTTTTATGTTCCCCCTTTTCCCTTTTTGAATTGTTCGCCGCCCTGAGTCCTTCCCGGAGAAGGGCGGCATACAAATAATAAAATTCAATTCAATAAGTCACTTTTTTCAGTGCTGTTATAACTTCGGATGGTCACTAAGCGAACTGTTGTAAGTCGAGGACTACCTATATCTGATAGATTGGTTTTATGCAAAATTAGATTTGATCACTGAATCTGATTGGCATAGATCCGTGATGGCAAATCTATGGCATGCATGCTATAGGTGGCATGCAGAGCCCTCTCTGAAGGCACACAAGCCATTGCCCCAGCTCAGCTTCACTGCGCATACGCATGTGCCCCCTGCCAGCAAGCTGATTTTCTCTGCCGCACATGCGGGGGGGGGGGTTGCTCCCAGAAGGCTGTAGGGAGGTCTACTAGGCCTAAAATGAGGCACAGGGGAGTACAGTGCGCCCCCATCCTCTGTGGCCCGTTTTTACTCCCAGGAGGCTGCAGGGAGGCCTACTAGGCCCACAGCACTCTGCAGGCTTCAGCAGGACTGGGGGAAGAGGAAAAATGCCCCCGTTTTGGTGAAAAATAACCCATTTTTCACCAAAATGGGAGCAATTCCCCCTCCCCCAGTTCTGCTGAAGCCTGCAGAAGGTAAAAGCCATTTTTTTTTCTTATTTACTGCTTCGAAATCTTGGTGAGTCTTATATACCGGTGCGTCTTATAATCAGAAAAATACGGTAGGTTAGTTTTTCTTTTAAAAAATTGATTCTGACCATAATAAATTGCTTAGGAAACTACCCTAAGAAGAGAATGTCATCTCCTTATTTTATCCCTCAAAGGATTTTCCTCCTTAATAAAAGAAAAAAGAAAAAAAGAAGACAGAAACCAGCTAGGGTCCAGCAGCTAATCCTATCAATCTTCATTTCCAGGATTTTGTTTCCTCATCTGAGAATTTCAGTGACCTGAGCTGTTTTCTTATATATCCCAAAATTACTTTTTGCAAACTTTGACAAGGAACATGCGGCAAACGTTAGGATAACTTCTGCTTTTGACAAGTTCAAGGAGCCTTAATACGACTCATTGTGGGCGCTATTCCCGCAATGACAACGGTGTTTTACATTGGCCAGGAGCCCTCGGGGGGAGGCGAGGGAAATCTTGGGAGATAAAACTAAGACTTACTGATTAAAACAAAACAAGAAGAAGGAAAAATCTACTTGTTCAGAAAATATCTCCTTTCTTATCTGACAGGGGTCAGGGGTCAAGATGTTTTGCTAACGGTTATGAGTTGCCTTGAAATGCTTTTTAAAATTGTTATTACCGTGTTTCCCCGAAAATAGGACATGTCCTGATAATAAGCCCAATCGGGCTTTTCAAGGCATGTTCTAAAATGCCCCCCCCCCNCCAACACTGGAAGTCTTTAAGAAGATGTTGGCTAGCCATTTGTCTGAAACGGTATAGGATTTCCTGCCTAGGCAGGGGGTTGGAATAGAAGACCTCCAAGGTCCCTTCCAACTCTGCTGCTGTATTGTATTGTATAAAACACCAGAAAGTCCAGTTGCCTCTTGAAAAAATGCACCTTTGGGACATGCCAGGTGTCAGCGCCTGAATTTTGATCACATGGCCGTGAGGATGCTGCAACAGTTGTAAGTGTGAAAAATGGTCGTAAGTCACTTTTTTTAGGAGCTCTTGTAACTTCCAATGATCACGAAGCAAATGCTTGTAAGTGGAGAATTTGCCTGTCGCTTCTTCTCCTTAGTTAAAACGGTTAGTTTTCTTATCTCCACCATTTCATTCCTCACCTTCCGTTCTTCCATTCACTTAACAACTGCAGCAAGCGAGGTTGTAAAATGGGGCAAAACTCACTTAACAACCCTCTTGCTTAGCAACAGAGATTTTGGGTTCCCTTGTGTTCATATGTTGCAGACTCTGTGTCTACTTTTGTTTTCTATTTGGAAACCACTTATGGACTTTTTGCTCAATACTGGGGGGAAAATGAAACCTTGATTTTGATTATAGAAAAGTGGTAAAATGTCAGGAAAAAGGTCAAAGTTCTATTGTTTCTCTAATTTACTGCAATGAAGGAAGTCAGATGTTATTCCTATTTGTCTCCCTTGGCGTTTCTCTCTTTCCTTTGCTTATTTTCCACATTTTTGTTTCCTGTACAATTTTAATCTTGCAATGAAACTTAATTTTAAAATTAAAAATGTAGCTCCTCTTTTCTTCTTTCCAAAACTTAAGCTTAGTTCCTTCCAGTCTGCTTATACTACGTACAGGTAGTCCTCGACCTACGACCATAATTGAGCCCAAAATTTCTGCTGTTAAGTGAGACAGCTGTTAAGCCAGTTTTGCCCCATCTTACGACCTTCCTTGCCTCATTGTTAAGCAAATCACTGCCGTTGTTAAGTTAGGTCACAAAGAGTGATCACTTGACCCCGGGATACGGCAACTGTCACCAATATGAGTCAGTTGCCAAATGTCTGGATTTGGATCACGTGACCACGGGGATGCTGCAAAGGTCATAACTGTGAAAAAATGGTCATAATCCCGCAGGGATTCGGACCCTCACCTCTCTCCAGGCCTTCCGAAAAGCCGTCAAAACCTGGCTTTGCTGGCAGGCCTGGGGTTGAGGAGTTCCCTCCCCTCTCGACTTGTGTGGTTGCGTGATTCTTGCTTATTTTATGTAAGCCGCCCTGAGTCCCCCCAGGGAAAAGGGCGGCCTATAAATATTAATAAAATACTAAAAAAATACTACATTATTTTAATTATCTGT